ACTGTCTCTCTCTCCAGACATCCTTTGCAAAGGCACATCCAGCAGGAAATGTGAGATAGGTGCACACGCACACACCCCAACGCTTCGAAGGCAGCATGCGACAGCTCAGAATCCAGGTGTACATGAAAGATTTCATGCCCTTCTCACCACCAGGCAAGTGATGTCTTGGTGCTTGTTGGAAAGTTCTGATGATGAGGCATTCTGCCAAATGACGTTGACGGTCTGCTCAGGGAACAACCCGACAGGATCCACTCTCTTCTTTTGTCACAGGACCTCGAGAACAAATGTGTCCTCTTTTAGCAATATCCAAGTTCTGCACTATCAAACTATCAGGAGATTTACCAGGATGCTGACTGGACTGGAGGGCAGGTCTTATGAGGAAAGGTTGAGGGAGCTAGGGCTTTTTTCATTGGAGCGAAGAAGAATGAGAGGTGACTTGATAGAGATGTACAAGATGATGAAAGGCATGGATAGAGTGGATAGTCAGAGGCTTTTTCCCAGGGCGGAAATGACTATTACGAGGGGGCATAATTTTAAGGTGATTGGAGGAAGATATAGAGGAGATGTCAGAGGTAAGTTCTTCACACAGAGAGTGGTGGGCGTGTGGAATGCGCTGCCAGCAGTGGTAGTGGAGTCAGATATTTTGGAGACTTTTAAGCGACTCTTGGATAGGCACATGGAGGATGGTAGCCTTTGCAGTATGCAGTGTCTCCAACCATTTCTTGATATCAACATGGAGTGAATTGAATTAGCTGAAGACTGGAATCTCAAATGGTGCAGACCACTGGAAGTGGCTGAGATGGTTCATCCACTTGACACTTGTGGTTGAAGATTGCTGCAAAAGCTTCAGCCTTGTCTTTAGCACTGATGTGTTGAGCTCTTCCATCATTGAGAATGAGGATATTTGTGGAGCTGCCTCCTCCAGTGAGTTGTTTAGTTGTCCACCACCATTCATGACTGGATGTGGCAGGACTGCAGAGCTTAAATCTGATCCATTGGTTGTGGGATCACTTAGCTCTGTCTATCACTTGCTACTTATGCTGTTTGCCATGCAAGTAGTCCTGTTTGGTAGCTTCACCAGGTTAACACCTCATTTTTCAGGTCTGCCTAGTGCTGCTCCTGGCATGCCCTCCTGCACTCTCCATTGAACCAGGGTTGATACCCTGGCTTGATGGTAATGGTTGATTGGGCGATATGCCGGGCCATGAGGTTACGGATTGTGCTGGAGTAGAATTCTTCTGCTATTGATGGCCCGCATGGATGGCTAGTATTGAGTTGCTAGATCCATTTGAAATCTGTCGTATTTTGCACGGTGATAGTGCCACGCAACGCGATGGAGTTAATTTTCAATGTGAAGGTGGGACTTCGTCTCCACGAGGACTCACTCTTAACGATACTGTAATGGACAGATGCATCTGGAGCCAGCAGGTTGGTAAGCATGAGGTCAAGTATGTTTGTTTTTCTCTCTTGATTCCCTCACCTCCTGCTGCAGACCCAACCTAGCAGCTATGTTCCTTAGGACTTGACCATCTCCATCAGTAGTACTGCTGCCGAGCCACTCTTGGTGGTAGACATTGAAGTCCCCCACCACATTACGTTTTGTGTCCTTGCCATCCTCAGTGTTTCCTCTAAGTGTTGTTCAACATGGAGGAATACTCCTCCATCAGCCAAGGGAAGATGGTACGTGGTAATCAGCAAGAGATTTCCTTGCTCATGTTTAATCTGAGGCCATGAGACTTCATGGGGTCCAGAATAAATGTTGTGGACTCCCAAGTGACTAACTCCCCACTGTATACAACTGTATCCTCACCTTTTGCTGAGTCTGTTCTGCCGGTGGTGAGGGATATCCAGACACATTCAGGGATTGTGACGGTGGTGTCTGGGGCATAGTCATACTCACGGAATCATACCTTACAAACAGCTGGGAGACAGCTCTCCCAGTTTTGGCACTAGCACCCAGATGTTAGTGCGGAAGACTTTACAGGATTGACAGGGCTGTTTCTGCTGTTGTCTTTTCCGGTGCTTGGGTTAATGCCAGGTGATCCATGTGGTTTCGTTTCTTTGAGACTTCGGTACAACTGAATGGCTTGCTAGGCATTTCTGAGGCCAGTTGAGAGTCAACAGCATTGCTGAGGGTCTGGAGTCACACGTAGGCCACACCAGGTGAGGACAGCAGATTTCCTTCCCTGAAGGACATTAGTGAACCAGGTGGGTTTTCTTCGACAGTCAACAATGGTTTCATGATCATCAGTAGATTTGTAATTCTAGATTCTTTCTTTTGAAGAATTCAAATTCCACCATCTGCTGTGACGGGATTCAAACCTGAGTCCCCAGAACATAGCTGAGTTTCTGGATTAATAGTCTAGCGATAATACCACTAGGCCACCCCAACCCCCCAAAAAAAATTACAGTATGAAAACACAGTCATACTGCAATGATTTGGTCTGAGATTGGGAGCAACATCAAAAAATCAGTTTTATGAAAACCCAAAATCAGCTGCTTAGTAGGAAAGATGGGTGGACTTTAATGCAGTTAGTACTTTCCTAATTTATGCTGCCGTCATTGTTCCCATTGATGGGAGCAATAACCATATGTCATTAATGTACAAGTGACAGTATGAGTGCAAGCACAGTTAATATTATGTACAATTTTCATGTCTTTGACGTCACTGAATTGGAAAGATTTTGCTGTTAGGTCGATAGTTCACCTTTTGAAATTTTCAAAGTGGTATGTGAAAATAAATAGCAAGTAAAATTACTTTAACGGTGCAGAAAATATGCTCTTTTGAGCCAATATGCCATACTAGTCAGTCTCTTGTCACTTGTACTGTACAAGATGTGTCCAGACAAAATGTAAGTTCGGAGAGTTGGGGACGATAGTCAATGCAGGTGTATTTTAAAGCTAAGTACTTATGTCTGTTCCAATTTCCTAAGTTTATTAGTGTAACAGAAATGGCCTATTATGATGTTGGTACTGCAGTCTTCACTGATGGGGAGGAATAAATTAGTGCCAAAGTTATAATAGCAATATCCATTCTAAACATGGATATAGGAAAGTTTATGGGAAGAGTTAAAATGAAATGCATGTTGAATTAATATTCACAAATATTACTAGTTGATCTGCACAAAGTGTGCAAATATGAATTTGTTTTCTCTTGCCTATCTCTTTCTTTGTATTGGTCTAATTTCATCTTTGTTGCTTAATATTTATTTCTAACTCATCTTACTATGTACATGGATGATGTAGCAGGCAAATGAGCCCTGAACAGCAGAAACTACGTTTGGGGTTGGGATGCAGAAAGCTATGGCTCTCGGCAAGTGTCTTCCCGTTCCTTTCCTCAATTGCTTGTGCTTTTATTTCTCTCCTGCAACCCTGTTTTCATCTCTGCATGTTTTCCTTTTCCTGACGCAGCTGCATTCCTATCATTGTAGCCATCTTTGTCTTTGCTCAACTTTATCTTGCTTTCCATCTTTCCTTATTGTCATTAACTTAAACTGTAACCTTTCATCTGCTTCGAAGTGTATCATCATTTGTCCATTTAATATAACACGAAACAAGGTGCAATCTTCCTTGCCTCCCCTCACACCCACTCTCACCATTGTGCAGATTTTTTTTTTGTAAAAATCTTTGACTTTTGAAAATTGGTAAGCCTTTCCTTAATTTTGACAGTTAACCAAAAGTTGGAGGCTGGGCAGGAGTTGCCATTTTAATTTAGAGTTTCCAGTGAGTCTTCCAAGTGCAGCAGGATTATTTTTCCAGCAAAATTGATTTCTGTTCCTTATTTTCAAGTTTGATTGGATAATTGATTCCTGTCGATCATTGTTATTCTGGTGTCACTGTAAATTTAATCTTATTGTAAAATAGCTGCATGGTTAATTGATAACAGTTTCAGTTAACTCTTATTTTAAATGATAGAGTTTAGTTAGAGGAATAAATGGCTATGGAATGTGATTCAGAAATCATTTTGAGAGAATGTAGTGGCCATATTTCAGATTGAATCAAATGTAGCCTCGTGTTTCCATTGTAAATGTGAATGTAGAAAATTAACTAATCTACAGAGAGAGAAAACAATATATAGAAGTCTGAGGAAAATGTATGCAAATGTATGGTCTCTAATATAGATGAATATCTTTAACTGCTTCATAAAGAGTTAAGTTGCATTTTGAGTTGGCTCCAAAACACACAACGTGGTCTGTACAGCACAGAGCTATACTAAATGTAAAGTTTTCTGAACAGTGAGGAGATTGGTGGCAAATGAATGGATTTCTGCATTTTATTTAAAAGTTTTTCTATCTCAAGTTATGGAAAAAAATGAATTGCTGAATCTCCTGTCTGTAAGAATGTCTATATATCCCTTGCAGAAATGATATTACCATGTTTCTTTTTCATGCGTTGGAATTAGGTACTTATCCATTCAGTTAAACTTAACATTTTATGTTAGTCTGGACTCTATCTATTTGAACTAACAATACAGATCTAGGAAGTAGTAATTGTCCCCTGTTCTTATTCAAAAGGTGTGTTAATAAAAGTGGAATAACAAGCTTTACTACTTGATATTTTTGTTCAACTTAAAATATTTCTGCCATTTAATTAAAATATATTTTCTAACAGAAACAGAAATTGCTGGTGAATTTCGCCACAACTTCTGTTTTTGTTTCAGATCTCCAGCATCCACAGTTCTTTGTTTTATTTTTATGATATATTTTCTCTTACTTTCTATGTCCACATTTTAACAGTGTTTATGGTTTGTATGCTGTATACTATTGTCATTATACATAATGCTTGCAATTTACAACTTCAGAAAGGTTACTGATGTTTCTCCCATCATCACAGTATTGGCACTTTTTAAACAATGTATTGTAAGCAACTTTATCACCAAAATTTGTTTAATTTTACTGCCCTGTTTTAATTCAGCCTGATTTGAAATATCAAAAGTTAAATTTGATGTTTATTATTTTTATAGCAGGTTATATTGATAAAATGATTTTGATTTTACGCAGGTGCTGCAGAATTGTTTAGTACTGACATCATTACACCCTTTGCTGAATCAGAGATTTTGCAGTTCTTGAAGCTGGTAGGTCTGTATTTTAGTACTATTTTCTTAGAGTAGCAAATGGAGTAGCATGCTCCAAAATGATGACTAAGCACATGTAAATTAAAGAGCTTATCGTGTTTTTGAAGTGAAAAGATTGTAATTCGTTGGCCTTAAATTTATGGTGGTATTCACCATGGAATAATGTTTACATTTTTAAAAAAAAACAAAATCTGAAACAAGGGTATTACGCTCCCAGCTGATGGTGATGATGGACAGGTCAGATCTGAGAATGAAACTTGGCTCGGTAGATTCGATTATAGTTGTTTTCCCACAGTTTGGCTACCTTTGTGATCAGTCACTGAACATATTTGCAAGAGGTTGCCAATGTACTTTAAACAAAAGAGCATCACAATTTATTGCACGTGGACAGGAGAAAAAGAATTCTGTTACACAATATTGAAATGATTTGAAATGGTCTTATTGCAAATATCAGAAATTCTACCCTTAACAACAACTATACAAATACTCAAACCTCAGTGAAGGTTTCTATTTATGTTCTCTGTTCTTCATTTCTTTCTGATGAACGTCTGCAATCAATAGATGCTATCTTACTTGGGTAATTTCTCTACGTATGACCCTGAAACTCCTAACACTCACTCACTCGTGCATGAATTCAAGGAACAAGTTTTGACAGCCTTGTACGATGACTTCCTGTTGACACCTTAAAGCTTTCTATCTCTGGAATTTTTCTCCACGAACTTCTAAGCTACTTGGGGTGACTTTTCTTCTGCCCTGACTACTTAGGAGACTGCTGAACTGCACTAGTCATATTATAGACATATATTTTTTCTTTAACTGACTTGCTTCTCTCTGAAAGAAATCCCTTGCACTCTGAAAAATCCCTTCCATTCATTGACCTTCTGGAGCGTTCTCTCATTCTAAAAAGAAACCGGTTTTGGTGCCTGTCCTTGTGTCATAAGACAACTTTTTTGTTTATTGAAGCACTGAAGAATTCACCTCAAGGGTTTAATTTAAAAGTCTTATTTAAATATGTAAACACATTCACAGACAAATAGTAGCACAGTCAGAACTCTTTCACTTCTTAACATATACAATAGAACATTAAATGTTTTAATTCTTGTAAAATTTTATAAGTTGATACGCATATGTTTGGTGATTTGGGACAAAATTTAGCAGATGGCGTTTAACAAGGATAAATGTTGATCCATGTTGATTGTAAGGATGGAAAGACACCTTATTATCTAAATAGAGAGAAACTTCAGAGTACTTTTTACAAAGGGATCTGGGTGTCCTCATGCATGAATTGATAAAAGCTATATGCAGATACTTGGATAATAAAGAAGGCTTAATGGAATTTTGGCATTCATTACTAAAGGAACAGAGTGTGAAAGTATGGAAGTGTTGCTGCAGTTTTCCAAGGCATTAGTGAAGCCGCATCTGGGCGATTGTATACGGTTTTGGTCCCCTTACTTGAACTGGGATGTTTGTTGCATTGGAGGTTCACCAGATTGACCAGGGGGTTTGTTTTATGAAGAAAAGTTAAGCAGATTCGATCTATACTGTGGAGTTTAGAAGAACGAGATGAGATCCAATTGAGGTAAACAGGATGCTAAAGGGATTGACAAGTGATCTCGAATGAGTGGTCATAATTTTTAGATAAGAAAGGTTTGGCAGATTTAATGGACATGAGAAGGAATTAGTTCTCTCAAAGGGTTGAGTCTGTGGAATTTACTACCCTGAGGATTCAGTAGTTGCTGGGACACTGAGTAAATTTAAGAAGGAGATAGATAAAATTTTAATTAGCTAAGGGTTATGCAGAACAGGCAAGAAGCTGGAGTTGAGATAGAGATGAATTTGCTATGATTGCATTGAATCTTGGAGCAGGCTTGATGGGTTGAATTGCGCACTGCTCCTAGTTCTTGTGTTCTTATGTGTACAAATGGAACTTAAAACTCTATATGGTCTTGTCCACTGCAGAAACCAAGTATCATGCACCTTTATTACAGGGCCAAATGAGAGTTTGCTGCCTTGCTGTTTAGCCTTGTCATTTTATTGTGGACTTCTATTAAAATGTAATAATTTAATTGACTTTAGATAGCTAGTGGAACCTTATACAAGTTGTTTTTTGGATAGCCATTAACCAATGACCTCGTGGTGCCAGAGTCTTAAGCATTTCACTGTTTCAACTAAATTATAAAGGCCAGCTACCTTAAAGCATATAAAATAACACCTTTTGACTTTTGTGCGCCTAATGGTTTTGCTGAATGGGTTTTTTAAAAGCGCTGGCCAGTAGAAGAAGGACTTTTAAAAATGTATGTCCTGCTTTTTTTGTTTTTAAATAATAACTACTTTCAAAACATAGCAATGCCATGGAAAAAAAATTGGATCATTGGTACTTTTCTTGGCAGAAGCCAAGAATAAATTGGGACAATTTCATTTATTCTAAATGTGAAAAGTTCAGAAATTCTGTCACTGGCTTTTGACTGAAGTTGAAGACTTTTATGATCTTAGTAGTGATCAGCAATTTCTTAAAAAATGAATTTTTCAATTATTGGCTAGAAGAATTACACAACCCATTTTCACATATTAAACAAAAACCTTTACTGTAAAAGAATTTAAATGAATCACATACTACTAACTATTTTCAGTTCCTTCATCAATGACCATCCCTCCATCATATGGTCGGAAGTGATGATGTTGCTTGATTGCACAATTTGTGGCTTCTCATTCTGACGCAAAGTGTACATATGCAGTCAGACCTGGACAACATTCAGACGTTACCTGATGAATGACAGATAACATTTGCCATAAAAGTGCTAGACAGTGACCAGGTCCAACAAGAGCGAATCTAACCATTTCCTCTTGACATTCAATAGAGAATGGCATTACCATCACAGAAACGCCCACTAAACCCTCCTGAAAGTGATCATTGACCAAAAATTGAACTGGACTAGGCATGTATATACTGTTGTTGAATGAGAGACTGGGAATTATTTGACAAATAATTCTCCTCCTGACTCCCTAAAGCCTATCCAAACCTACAAGACACAAGTCAGGAGTGTGGTGGAATACTGTCCACTTTCCTGAATGGATGCAACGCAATAAATTTTGAGGAGCTTATTCGGGAGAAAACACTGCTTGATCGGTTCCCCATCCACGGAATTAAATGTCCACTACTTCTGAAAATGGTAAATAATGGCAGAGCTGTGTGTTATCTACAAGATGCACTGCAGCAATGCATCAAGGCTCCTTCAGTAGCATTTTCCAAACCTGTCACTTGGAAGGATTAGAGTAACAGGCACGTGCAGATACTGTCAGCTACAAGTTTTCCCCTATGCCAAACACCATTCTGACTTAGAACGTCACTCAATCTAATCTACTATATTTGCTGCTCACAGTGTGGTCTTCTCTACATTGGGGAGATGAAACACAGTCTGGGTGACTGCTCTGCAGAACACCTATATTCTGTCTGTAAAAATTACCCCAAGCTTCCAATTGCCTACCACTTCGACACATGCTGTTCCCTGGCTGACATTTCTGTCTTGGGCCTACTGCTGTGCTGGAGCACGGTTCAGTGCAAGCTACAAGAACAGCATTTCATTTTCTGCTAGGGAACGCTACAGCCTTCACAGAGTCATAGAACTGCTCAGCACAGAAACAGACCCTTCGATCCAACTCATCCACACCAACCAGATATCCTAAATTAATCTACTTCCATTTGCCAACATTTGGCCCATTTCCCTCTAAACTCTTCATATTCACGTACCCATCAGATGCCTTTTAAATGTTGTAATTGTACCAGCCTCCTCCACTTCCTCTGGCAGCTCATTCCACACACGCACACCACCCTCTGTGTGAAAAAATTGCCCCTTATGTCCCTTTTAAATTTTTTCTCTCTCACCTTAAACTTATTCCCTATAGTTCTGGACTCCACTACCCTGGGGAAAAGACCTTGTCTATTCACCCTATCTAAGCCCCTCATGATTTTATAAACTTCTTTAAGGTCACCCATCAGCCTCCAACGCTCCAGGAAAAATAGCCCCAGCCTATTCAGCCTCTCCCTATAGCTCAAACCCTCCAATCCTGGTTAAAATCCTTGTAAAGAGTTCTGAACCCTTTCCAGTTTCACAACATCCCTCCTATAGCAGGGAGACCAGAATTGAAGGCAGTATTCCAAAAGTAGCCTAACTAATGTCATGTACAGCCGCAACATGACCTCCCAACTCCTATTCTCCAATATACTGACTGATAAATGCCAGCATTCAAAGGCCTTCTTCACTATCCTGTTTAGCTGCGACTACTTTCGGGGAACTATGAACCTGCACTCCAAGGTCTCTTTGTTCAGCAACACACATCAGGACCTTACCATTAAGTGTATAAGTCCTGCTCTGCTTTGCCTTTCTAAAATGCAGCACCTCACATTTATCTAAATTAAACTCCATCTATCACTGTTCGGCCCGTTGCCCCATCTGATCAAGGTCATGTTATACTCTGAGGTAACCTTCTTCGCTGTCTACTACGCCACAAGTTTGGTGTCATCTGCAAACGTACTAACTACACCTCCTATGTTCCTTCAGGATTTAATATTGAATTCAATAATTTTAAAGCCTGAACACCACTTTCCATATTCCATATCGATCCCCCACAGTCCAGGCCCTGTCATGATATGGACTGCTTTCAGCACAGCTAACCCATTGGAACCTGCTCATGGATAGGGTGCTGAAGGGTGTAAACCCGAAATGTCAACTTTCCCACTCCTCTGATGCTGCCTGACCTGCTGTGTTCCTCCAGCTCCATACTGTATTGACTATTGCACCTACTCATTGTTCCCTTTATCAGCTTTTCTTTTTCCCTCCTATCGACAGGAATTGAACCCGGGTCCCTGGCACTGTGAGGCAGCAGTGCTAACCACTGAGCCACTGAGCCACTGTGCCACCCACGACAGTTGGGAAGACAGTTGTGAGGGGCTGGAATATTTAAAATTCCCTGCAATCCATATACAAGCTGCACCTGTCCTG